AATCGGTTGGATCGCTTCACTGCAGGTGATACCAGCCTTTGGGGTAACGCAAGCATCGCCTCTTAATTTAATGGAGGTTGAAGGAATCCATCCACTATTAGTTGCTAAGCGCAGACTAGATGACACAGCTATCGCTTGCTCCTATGATCCCCTTAATTTGGTCAACGGGGTTAGAGAAGGGCGATCAAAGCGTAAATCAGGCCCCTACAGAGGGACAACGCACGTCGAAAATTCGCTTTAGACCCACGTCAAAAGTTCACCGATCCCGATTGCTTCAAGATTACTCATCAGTCCTATTCTCGGAGTGTTCCCCCTTTTACCTACCATGTGCTCTCCCTTTTTGAGCATCCCGTTGTGGAAAAGAAATTCGTAACTTCATGTGATCCAAAAACGGTAGTCAATTATATCTTTGAGTCACAGCTCCCTCACTCCTGAAGAGATGACATCAGTGATAGGCTCAAAGGATGAAAGAAGGTTGTTGACTTCTTTAGTAAATATTTTTCCGAAAATTGATTGATATGAAAAAATTAAGAAATGATTTTAAAAAGGTCTCCTTCGTCGCAGGACTCATTTGCCGGGGCTTTTGAAAGTGTCAGTTACCATGGATGGTGTGGGGCGACATGACCAAGTCAGAGAGCCTTTCACTTTCTCATTCCACTCCATTCCGTTCCGTGAGTTCCGATGTGGAACTCTTGGGCCGTTCTTCTTAGGCCGATGTTGGCGACGAAATCGCTGGCGATGACCTCAGAGAAAGCATGATCTTTTCTGTGGAGCCTCTCCATATCCATATATTAGGGTCCATAAAGTTCGTTGGGCATTCGTTTTTTCACTCGTAAAGATAACTCAATAGGTTGAACTTACTGGTCCATGATATAATCTCCATGCATACCCACCACCTTTCACCAACGATCGGGTAGAGAGGCAACTCCATCCTCCCAAAGGCGGCCGGCCGCGACTCGGCCCAGTTCTTGATGCCCAGCCTGCCCAGGACGGCCTGAGTATCTCTCGCTTTGTGGGGGCGCGCGTTGTCCCAGAGCAACCACGGATTTGCAAGTTTCTGGGAAAAGGCGGCGCTTTCATCTTGATCTCCCGCAGTTCTTCAGAGAGGGTCTCTGCCATCAGTGTGGCATTGTTGGCTAGGATGCTGTAGTGGACGACGCCGTGACGAGAGAATCAGAATGACAGAAGGGGCTTCCTTCCATGCATACTTCTCTTTGCACAACTTGGCGGTGGCGCATCGAAGTCCACCCTGGTTTGTTGGCAGGATTAGAGTAGTAGACCCACTTCTCATCTTGGCATGTCCGGAATCTGAAGCGTCCAAGATGGTATGGACACGCAGTGACCAGCGAATCATCCAATAAGGAATGCAATGGAGTTCGAGGCTCAAGGGGAGCGACTACAAGAAGTTGCAAAGGAGATGTGGCGGGACGTGAGCAAAAAGGACCTCGCCGAAGCTAAGGTAGCGGCAGAAGATGCCGTAGATAGAAGTGGTGACGACTGACAAGAATAACTGACCCTGTGACGGAGCAGGATTAACGCTAGGGAGAAGTAAAATTAAGCAAATGAATAAGGAATCAATTGACAGTGCAAAGTTTCCGAAATTGTCTTACTGTGAGTGCACAAAAGTTTCTCGTTTGTAACGCTATACGTGACCGAAAGTAAGGAAGAAGTCTATTACTCACTTTCTTTTTGGATCGCTTTGTCATCGAGCGTTTTCTTGGCGGCTTTTCCGTTTGATCTTGTTATGCTACTTTTCTTCACGCCTTTCTCCTCCTCTGCTGTTATTTCTGATAATTTCTTCTCTGATCGTCCTATTTCTTCCTTTTCCGATTCAGCGCGTTCGAGCTTCTTCGTTTTCGCCTTCTTTTCGTCCGCTACGGCCATGAGACTCTTTTTCGGCGATTCTTTAGTATTTGTTGGCATCGTAGCTCCCACAATTGCCATGCCTTGTCTGATATCGCCTTTGGTTGGCTTTTTCTTTGCAGAATTTTCCGATTTCGGACCTGAAACACGATTTATTAACTCGGGAAAAATGACAGTTTTTTCAGATTTTTGTTTTACGCAGTTGCCTTGACAAGCAGGGAAAAAGAGAGAAGGACTTTCTTATTGAGGAAACCTCTAACAAATGAAAGAAGAATTGTGGGAATTCAACAATGTTAGCAGAGCGAGTGTATTGTCGGCTACTATAGGAACTTCCTGTTCTCACGTGCTGAAGGAGTAGTCTTAACAAGCCTTCCCAGGCATGTTGAGTCGTTCGCAAAATTTTTTCAGAGCCTGAGAAGTACTAATAAGAAAATTTTCAGATCGACGCACTTTGCCGAATGAGCAAAGTTCGTTTAATTTGGATTGCAGCACCCTCAAAGTATTTCCTTTCAGAAGCAAAGAGATAAGGTGAAAAGGGTCTCTGAGGATTTCTCTTTCGATAGACAGCCAAGGAAAATCAATAGAATGAAGTATAATAGTTTGCAGTCGCTGTTACGACTTGGTTTCTAAACACAGTAAGAGAGCGAGTTAAGGTAGGAGTAGCAGAGTGAGCTACATGACCTGAGTCTTCAATAGAAAATCGCAGCTCTAACAGACAAACAGACACCTATGAAAGGCGGCAATAAAAAATGAAAAAGATGAAGTTTTTTGGCGTTTTTTCAACTACGTTTTTTGAATGCACCCCGCACACTAGTGCATTGAGAATAGAAGTGACGTTTTGAATGCGTGAGAGGCATATGCAATGAATTGAGATGGCCAGCCAATGTACTAGTTAGCGTTTTGCCATTTAAAATGATTCTGGTATCAGTGAGAGGGAAAGGGGAAGAAATGGAACTCTCGGCTGGAATGAGGAGATAACAAAACAGGATTCGATCGACTTATCATAGTCCGCGTGGCACTACACCACATCTGCTTGAAGAAAGGTAATGATAATTGGGAAGATCACGAAAAGGAGTGAAAGAAACCCGAATTTTTGTGAACACTAGTTGCACGAACATGAAACGCCTGCTCTCAGGTGAGACTTAATACGATTATGTGTGATGGTTTACTTGCAAAAAAAAAAACACTGACTCCGTTGTAAAAGCGGGCATCACCTATGCCATTTGTGTTTTATGCCAGTCACCATCAATGTCCTCTACATTGCATACCAGATACGCACTAATCTCTTCACAAACCAGTAAATTGAGGTTGTTTACAAGCAATCCTCATTACTACACCCAATTGCTCAGACTACTTGCGGTTCTAACAGAATAAGCAACCAGCCGTGTCCGTGCATTGCCGCCAACAACATTCATGAACATATCAGGACTACACTCCTAATTACTAGGTCAAGCTTCAACTCAGAAAATAGACAATTGCGTACCTGATGCCAGCATAGTCTCCTCCATGTTTCCAGAAATTATTCTTGGGTCCTTAGCTGCTCAATTATGCTTTTGTGAGCTTTCATAATAAAACTAGATGGTCACGCCCCACAGCTAATTAGATCGCTTGTGTCAGTTAATTCAGAAGTACTACATATAATGCGTTTCACATGGACGCAATTAAGTCTTCAACCATGACAACGCCAACACTTCTCAGGCTCAATGGCTACAAATAACATCCGTAGCAATAACTCGTGCATAATAACATAGTGAGAAAACTGTCTAGTAGACACAACAAATAAATTATAGCATCAATGTTGCCAATGCAATCAGTTGAAGTAGACAAGTGTTCAACAGCATCTGTGAGAGGGAATAAGATATGTGGGAATAAGTTTGTTTCTCAATCTAGCTTCACAGATGAGATGAAACACTATTTGAGATCAATATCAGGTGTACCAATTCTCTTTGGCTGCCACGATAGTTTTGAAGTATATAGTTTTAGACGAGTAATGGAAAGGACAAATCAGAATAGTGCAGAGATAGCGATTGAAACGTGAAAACTGGCGGTTTTAGAGAATTACGAGGTCTCAAGGAAGTAAAATTAGAGGTTGGACGAGAATGTGTAGACATTAATTGCCTTGAAGAGGTATTCGGACGAGCTGTTCAAATGTGCTCCAATGCATACAGCTGGCTGCAATAAACCGACATGCAGCTGACCGCATGCAAGGTATGGGTCCAGGTGTGATGATGCAAACTCTACAGCTATTACAACACTTAACAACTCGTCCGCCTTGTGTGTGTACGTCGGCTGAGCCGATTTGAGGGCCCCATTACCATTATCTTGGCCGTTTGGCAACCCGACAGCGCCCTAGACCATCCTGAGGGACCACAGTTCCATCCAAGAAAAAGCTCTTGGAAACTATTCTCAATGTGAACTGCTTCCATAAAAGTCTGGGTGATATCGATTGGTAGCTTTGAAAATGAAGAAGACAAATGGATAAATGGGATGGGCAAAAAACAAGCCAGAGTAATGAAATGAGATCGAAAAGACGTTGAAGGAAAGAAGAGGACAAAAAAGATTGTACAGCAAACCTAAGAGACATGAAGATGGGTATTGTTTTTGTAACATTCAGAGCTCGAAAGTAAACATTTCCCACCACCACCTCAAACATGCTAATCTCTCCTTCCTCGCATCCGAGCAATACTAAAGCCTCTAGAAAATCTGCGAAAATCACAGGTGGAAACCGTTGCTTCAGAAAGTAGAAAGACCCTTCTTCACCTCTTCGGCTGCAATTCAGCACTAAGCTTTACGACTGTAATGTTGTGAACGCTTTACGTATGTACTGGTTCTGGACATACCCAATGAACATGTAGGTTACGGTAGTATTTTAAGAACAATTCCTGTTGAGCTTAAACAATCGATGAAAAAAGCAAGGTGTGGTACTTGTAATAATTTGGCATATGACCTACAATCAGGAAGTTCACGATTTACCGATATCTGATCACCACTTGGAGTGAACGCAGTAGGACTCTACGAATTTAGAAGGTAAAACTGCGATTCAGCATCTCCCATGCAAGTTTCCTGTACAAAAAACACAAGCTTATGAGTTCTGTTAACTGCTGCAGTTTTTTTTTTGCAAAAGCGTTGATTGATTAGCAGGACGCTCAGCTTCTGACGGATTCTGACTCGAACTTGTGCTTTACTGATAGGTAACAAAGCATGTCGCAAAGAGTTCGCCGCTAGTACTCTCATCAAATTAAAGGTTTATCACATTATACATACAGTAGCGCTCAAAAGTCTTCGGTGACATGCTTCGACACTTTTTCGTTCATAACTTTTTTCTTAGTAGACCAAATCGCGCGAAATTTGGATATATCTAACTAGAGCATATTTCACCCTACCCGACACTATTTGACTGCGAAGCTGCAATATCCACAGATAGAGCAAGGTGTTTGTTGCAGTAGCAGATTTTGCTAAAACTAAAGTTGTTGACGTCTGCACTTATTCGCACCTTATGTGCGTTTTTTCATCTATTGTGTTAGGCAATACCGCTCGTACACTTTGGTCATGACAAAAAGAAAAGGGG